AAGTCAACAGCAGAAGTCTTTAACTTGGTCTGTGAAATTATAAAACTATTTTATTTACAATAATAAATGAATAAAAAAAAAAGATCTTTTTTTGTTTATTAGTAATACACACAATATATTGTGTTGCCACAATTGCTGTAATTGATGCGAATCAACCTCAGTGCCGCTCAGAGAAAATGGCACCAAACAAAAAGCTCTTCTGACTTGACCATTTGCCAGTCTCTATTGTCCTTCCTTCTCATCCAGAGTGACAAAATGTATTGTGAAATAAAGCTCTGTACGTCCTTGTCCACATCGTTAGTATCACTGACTCATAAGCAATGCGCAATGTAGCTCAAGTTCTACTGTACCTCCGCTGCTGCATGAACAAAAACTCATTCCCACTCTTCCCAAAGCCACACAGTCAGACCCAGAGTAATATGAACAGCAAGTCAGCAGCAAAGAACTTAGGTGTGCACTTAGGAGGTTCCCGCTGTGCCTCATATGTAGAAGGAATTTTAAGCCGTGGAAATACGAGAACACAAGAACAACATCCTTAAACATTATGTTAAAAATACACACACAAAACTCATTGAAGGTTGTAACTGTTATTCTTCCAACAGAAGCAATTCAACAATAAGGGGTTTGAGAAGAAACAGCAAACGTGTACTTGGCCAGAATCTCAGATCTGGTGTAGTCTGATATGGCACGGAATACAACAACACAATGGCATATCTAAGAACAGACCTTGGAGAGAAATATTCCTGACGTTAACTGAGCTAAGCTGAATTTTGATTAGAGCATTTAAACAGCCAAAACAATCCGTCACTTTGAATTTATTACGTCGAAATTACACCACAAACGACTGGCAATTGGTCCGGTCGCCACTCAAGTGGAATTGAGAGAGAGAAAAGGGAAGAAATGAGAGAACAGTGAGAACACAGAGTGAACTGACTAGTTTCTTATTCATTTGTCCAAATTTCCGGCGACGGTCACCATGTCGATTCCCCACAATAGTTTTGCCTCATTACTGCATTGAGCAATCGAACAACGATGAAATGAATTCTAATGCGATGTCATCAGAAGAGAAGCAGTCTACAGCAGTCAGGTATAGCCAAATGAGGGATAGCAGCTTTATTTACCCTTGTACATATTTACTGTAAACTACATTTGAGGTTTGGGAGTCTTGCCAAGTGTAGGATTCAAACCAGCAGTCATCCCAGCACAGGCCTAATCCTTACAGTGAGCGTATTGATATTTGTGTAAGCAGCATATAATTAACTTTTAAAAACTGTTTTTTTAACGACAATTTGACTCTTGTTTATTTTGCCCCTCAGTTTCAGCCAAATTTCTAACATTCACTTCGTCGTTCAGCACGGTACACACTACAATTGCTGTCAGACGCATCCTCGCACTCTGTGCCAATGTCACGTCGTGCCTGCACTCATTTCCAACGGCAGACACTGGACAGGCTGTCCGCTCTCTCCTGCAAATGTGTCAGCAGCAAGACATCAGTGTTTACCGCGCGAGAAACCCAAGGTAATTAGGTATGCATTACTCAGTGTCACAGTAGCAGTTCTATACGTGCTACCTGTTGTAAAGATGATTAATGGTGATGGCAGTATGCCATAGCACACTCATCATTTATTTTTATTACTCTTTCTCGCATACATGTCACTTTATTATTAATTCACCTACAGGGTCTTGTCCTTCACTGTGTGGTGGTTCTATAATACTATTTCAATTATCGTGTGCACAACGATGCTAATTGAGTATCCACACATCCGCTAATTGTAGAAAGCTTCTATTTATCGTAGGACCTCAAGTTTAAAATACAATCTTAGCTTGTCTCAGATCATCATCAGGCATATATATATATATATATATATAAAATTTTTCACATTAATAATTTCATCATTTGGCTCAGTCGAAAGGGTTTACAAAAAACAACCTCAATTG